GACGTAAGCGTTTCTCCAGCTGTTTGTGGCGTGGCCTGTTGTCCCAGTTGGCTGCCTGTGAGGCTCTGCGGGCCGGACTGGGGAAGAGGTGATTGTGTTCCTGGCCAAGGGTGGCTGCAGCTCCTGCTCTGTGCTGTGCCCAGCAGCCCGCTGAGAACTGGCTGCAGCCGGGCTGCAAATCTCCCCTGAGTGCCCAGAGTTCAAAACATCCCATGGAAGTAAACCCAAACCATCGCCGCTGTGTTTCCCAGCCCTGCTGGGCTCATACTGGAGAGTCCAAGGGGGTCAGGCTTTAGCCCCTTGCAGAGCCCTGCGTGGTGCCAGCCTGAGTCCTGGCAATGTGCTCATCCATCATGGCCCAGGGAGCATGGGGAGAGATGCTGGCAGTTGGAAATATTTCATAAGTGGCAGAAATGTATAACGGGCAGATGGGGCTGATGGGGGAGAATTACTTCACTTCTCCCGGGGTGCTGGAGGCTACTGGTCTTCCGGTGCCAGGGCTGTGGCTTCTCAGACAAGGATGGCTTGTGCCTAGGGCTCAGCTTCAGGGTGTGCTTTGCAGCCAGTAGTGCACATGGCCACCTGTTCTTCCACACCAGCCAACAGGATTGTCCAGCTGTGCTGGACTTGATTAAAGGTCTTTTCCACCTGGAAAGCTGTCCTGAGGCATGAGCAAAGGCTTTGTGGATGCTGCTTCTCTCTGGTGTGCTGGTGCTCTTGGTTAGTTTGGAAACATGGAACCAGACTGGAAGAGTGAATTCCCCATTGAGTGGTGTCTCTGTGTTGCTCCCACTTGCTGCTCTTCACCCTTCATGGGTGTTCAAGTGAGCTGTCCCCTCTGTAGCATGTTGGCAGCATGGGGATGCTGAAGGTGTCGGCCAGTCACCTACAGCTGAGGAGGGGTGGAGAAGCTTTCCAGTGCTGGCACACACCCGTGTCACCTCAGGCGGGTAGCCTGGCTCATTGGCCGCAGCTATATCCATGGAGGAGATACGTTCAGTTCCAGCATGTTACTTCCAGCATGCCCTCCTCCTCTCTGGCTCTTTCACAACCCAGGCTTGACTGACTTGTCCAGCTGGGACCGAATTTTAGGCTTGAAGTGTGAGGGCCCAAGTTGGAGAAAGCCCCACAGGTTTAAAACTCTTGGTGACCAGTAGCAGCCCCTTCTGCTGCAGGAGTGGCCGCCCAGCTCTGCCTGGAGGTGCTTTCTGTCAGCTCCCTCCTCACAGGGACCTTTGGCAACCCCGAGCGGGCTAAGCACGTGGGGTCTGTTTCCCTCCCACTTCCCCCAGCATGACCTCCGGCCTCCAGACGTTTGGTGTGCGGTTTGTGCGGTCGCTGCTATCTCATCTCCCCATCGGTCACATCCCCTCTCGGTGGTGACTCACCCGAGGCCGTACCTCTTCCCCCGAACCCGTGCCGCCGTTTCGGAGAGCTGAGCAAAGATGAAGAAGATGTTTGCAAGTGGGCTGACACATCCGCGCCCGCCAAGTTCCTCTAATAACAGCCCTTAGTGATTTATGTCTCAATTGTGCAAAACAGATATGTTTTATAATCTTGGAGCTGGAAGGGAGGAGGACAGGTGTGCTCTGCAGCAACTGGAGCATCACAGGGGTTGCATTTTGGCTGCTGGCTATAGGGATAACGTGGATTGAGGGACCATCTCTGTGCCCTGAACCCTTCTACCCCCAGAGCTGGGCTGATTTGGATCATGTATGTCCCTGCTGGCATGACATAAGTTTTAGTGGTGCCTTTCCCAGGCGGTCAGAGGCCGAGCTAATGGGCACAGGCGTGTGTTTGGCGTGGTGTAACTTGGCAGGGAAGGGGGGGCACAGCCAGTCTGGGCTTGGCAGTGCTGCCAGCTCGCACCTCCCTGCCTGTGCTGTGGTGCCAGACCGCCTCTGGGCAAGCACTCGGCTGGAGGAGCGTGGCTCAGCCTGCCGAGACCTGTCGCCGTGTCCCTGGGCGAAGCGGATCTTGTGCTGCTTCAGCAAACACTCTGGCCCCAGGCAGATGGAGATGGTTGCGGTTTCCCCTTTTCCCCTCCCTTTCTCCTGGCAGATGCCCATGGTTGGGGTGAGCTGTGCGTTGCTCACTGCGGTAGAATTTCTCCCCTTGGCATTGCTTTCTGGCACAGAGATCCAAGGAGGCAGCGGCTCACCCGCGGCTGCCTCCTGAGAGCGCAGCT